GGGGGGGGGGGGGAGCAGCAAGGGAAGGGAGCAGGGAAGAGGAGAATCCCACAAAAGATGTTACAATTCACAGAATGACAGTCCCAGAGAGGAAAGTACTTCATCACCACACCTCTGCAAGCCTGGCATTAGAGAAAATTGGTGCAGATGATAAAGCACAGAAAGTAATGACAATGATGAAAAAGGTATAATAACAGTAGCTGTAGCTAACAATTAGTAAACACTTTATTATGTGCCAAGACTATACTGAGCACACCAGATTTACACTAAACCTCAGATCAACATTAAGAGACAGGTAGTTTATCTCCACTTTATATATGAGAAACTGAAGCACTGAGCAGCTGAAGTGATTTGCCCAAGGCAGAGCAGGACTCCAGCTCAGGCTTCCTTCCTGCAAAGTCTGTACACCTGCCACATGCTAAAAGGTGCTTATATTATACACAAGGACAAGCACCTCTGACTCCTCCATGAATATCCAGGGAACAAACCCTCGGGGGGAGAAAGTCAGGGCCTTGAGCTTCATTTTAGCTCCCTGGTGATCCCTTCCAAGTATGACACCAGGTAATGCCACTAGAATGCTATCAGACCTGGTCCTGGAAAAGCTTTTCCAAATTCCTTAAGAAGAGGAAACTGATAAAAAAAAAAAAGTAATAATAATTTTCCCTTTTTAGGAGATTACAGTTCATCACTGAACAACATGGGTTTGAACTGCACACATCCACTTATACGCAGATTTTTTTTAATGATTACTGCAGCTGTATTTTCTTTTCTCTAGCTTACTTTATTGTAATACAGTATGTAATACATGTAACATATAAGATATGTGTTAATCCACTGTTTAGGTTATCGGTAAGGCTTCCAGCCAGTGGTAGGCTAAGAGTAGTTAAGTTCTGGGGAGTTGTTGTGTGTTTTTTAATGAATTTATTGGAGTGACATTGGTTAATAAAATTATATTTCACATGTACAATTCTGTAATACATCCATCATCTGTATATTATACTGTGTGCTCACCGCCCCATCATTTACTCCCCCTTTACCCTCTGATACCTCTCCCCACTCCCTTTCCCTCCAGTAATCACCACACTGCTGTCTGTGTTTTTGAGAGTTTTTTTTCCTTTTTCTTTTTTGCTTAATTCCTTCACCTTTTTCACCCAGCCCCCAAACCCCCTTCCCCTCTGACAGCTGTCAGTCTGTCCTCTGTACTATGAGTCTGTTTCTATTTTGTTTGTTAGTTTATTTTCATTAGATTCCACATATAAGTGAAATCATATGGTACTTGTCTTTCTCTGCCTGGCTTTTTCCACTTACCACGGTACTTTCCAGGTCCCTTCATGCTGTCCAAAAGGTAATATTTCCTTCTTTTTTATAGCTGCATAGTATTCCATGGTGTAAATGTCCCACAGCTTTTTTACCCACTCATCTACTGATGGGCACTTGGGCTGCTTCCAAATATTGGCCATTGTAAATAACGCTGCAATGAACACAGGGGTGCATATATATTGAACTGTAAGTTTTAAGACTGGTGAAGAGAGTGACCTGCCACATCAGCAAGGCTAACTAGAGGTGCTGTGAAAGCAACCAAGTCACCCACTGACTGCTAGGAGAATAACTAAGCCAGCTCTAGCTGCTAAGAAGCCAAACCTGTACTAGGCTAAGAGCATGGCAGCAACAGAGATGGAGGCAGCAGCCATGGACTGATTACCAGACAGCAAATGAGGGGCAGCAGGAGGGAAATGTTCAAGAGGAAGGGGAGTCCTGGATACACGGAGTGGAGCCCAATTCAAAACCACTTCTGTCAAGCCTTTGGCTGCCTTCCTCAGCCAAGCAGGGTCTGGAGAGTCTAGGGATTTTCCTATTTCTTGGATGTGCCAT